TTTGTTTCAAAATTAAACTCAGGGCACATTGACTTCATAGGAAATCCACTGGAATGTTTTTCTAGGCTGAACACCTGTTTCCCTTTAGTCTCCCCTAACAGAGCATGTACATGCTAACTACTTTCATTTTGCAGTCACTGCTGTCCCACCCCTACCGGTTATACCAAGACCACCTAAACTGTGTGTGTGGTATTCTGAATGTTCTTAGTTATGCCCTAATTTCAGTAACTGAAACAGATTTTCTGCCATAAGCTGTCACTTGAATTCTTTGGCTACTTTTGAAGTCCAAAGAACACTGAAATGATTCTCCTTTGGGGGAATTATTTTACAGGCATTAGTGACTAGCCCCTGGGGCTGTGCTGGTCCCAGGTGGTAGATTTGCTAAGGTATTCCAGCAACACCGAGTATGGTGGGTGTGTGGACTCAAACACCACCTCCTCTTTATGGGATTTCCTACACTGCAGTACCAGGAAGATTATAAACCACGTTTCCTGGGCTCCCTTCCAGCCACACTTCTGGATGTGAGTTGGATTCTGCCAACTGCAGAGCCTGGAGAGGCACCCTGATCCTGCCAGCAGTACCACCGGTCCTCAGGCCATCCTGGTAACCGGGCGAGGAACGCCTGGAGCAGTGAAACCTGAACAACAGGTAATCACCACTCTGCGGTGTTTTTCATCTTGTTTCATGTGCCCCCCGGGATGCCACCCACCCTTAAGTATGCTTTGAGTCTTCCAGAGACGGGGAAGAAGGAAAAAGAGGTTTAGCTCACACCACGAGGCTGGCTGAAATGCCTGCATCCACCCTGAGGCTGACGTTCTCAGGCCAGAAAAGGCCCCGTGGCAGCGCCTGGGTGGCTGATGAGTGTAAATATTCCCCAGCGCTCTTCTCAGGAAGCCCTTGGCCTGTCCATGTTACAGTCAATCACCTTTCTGGGGGATGTTACAAATGCTTTCCCATAGGCCTTCCTCATGCAGGCCAAGCAAATCCTACTGTCACGGCTCAGGTCAAAGGCCAGGCCCCACTTCTACCTCGTTTTTCTCGATAAACATCACATCCCTCTTTCAAATTGGGTCTTGAACCCTCCACACCCTTGCCGGCTTATGAAAGCAATTTTAACAAATCTACAGACCGTCAAATGTAAGTTCACATTGTTATTCGCAATGGTAGAAAATGTAACACACGTGTTCCACCAACCCCACTCCCTCTAAATACCGATGTTAGTTGAGGTGTTGGTGGGGGTCCAACTGAAGCTGTCTCCTTACCCTCCCTTCGCTCTCCTGTGCGCCTAGAGCTTGGCCTCCACGGGCTTCCGGTCCCCCTCCCCCACCTCCCGCAGGACCCGCTCCCTAAACCTGCTTTCAGTCGAATTTGACAAAGCTTCACTGGTTATCCCATCTACATCTCATCTTAACGAGACAAAATAACCCCAAAATGACAACATAAAGGAATAAGTGTGGACAGTCATACGATGGGGCATTAGACAGCCATTGAGGTAAAAGGTCACAGAATTCTGAAGAGTATTAGGATGTGCTTGAGATGTAAAGTTGGGGTAAACGGCACATACAGCATCATCTCAACTATGTACACTTACAAAGACTAGGAAGAAGTAAGGGTGGTCATTTCAGGGCAGCGGAATGATCGGTTTTGTTTTCTCCTTTACTTTTTTATATTTTACAATGGGCTCTATAAAAAAAAAAAAAAAAGCCTGGGCGAATAAAAGGGACATTGCTCTGCAGGACCTAGGAACAGCAGGCTGGATATAAAGTGTTGCTCCCCCCGTCCCCCAACAGCAGAGCTCTCATTTTGAGTGTGAGTTTTGTGCTTTCTTTTCCATGCTGCAATCCCTTTTCTACTTTTGTCTGGTAAATACTTTCTTGTATAACTTTTTCTGGTAATGTGCGTTGGGTCCCAACTATTTTCAAATGACAGCAATTCTTTGTTTCCCTTCCGGCTTCTGCTCTGACCTCTCACGTGGATCAGCTGTGCTCTCGGAAGGACCAGCCATGGTCTCTGGACGTGGGTCGTGGATGAGGCGCTGGGAACCCTGGTGAAGGTGGCGGCCAGCATCGGCGGTCAGTGCCCTTGGTCACATCAGAGCCCCGACGGCTGTGCGGGGAATGCATCTGAAGGGGCGCAGGAGAACTTGGGCTGTGGCAGCAGCGGTCTGGATGTGAAGCCTGAAGCAGGGAGTCACCGTAAGGATGGAGCCGACCAGACTGGCTGGGCCTCCTGCAGAAGGAAGGGACCCGGGGAGGCGGGATGAAGGGTGGTGTCACAGCTCAGACAGCAGGCGCAGAATGAATGTACACAGTTTGGGGGAGGCTAGGGTTTTTTTGGGTTTTTTTGTTTTTTGTGTTTTTTTTTACAATTTTTTACTTTATATTGGGGTATAGTTGATTTACAATTTTTTTTTTAATTTTTAATTTTAAGGGGAGGCTGGGTTTTGAGCGAGTTGAGTGTGGGGCAGCCTTGGGACATCCATGCAAAAACGTACAGCCGGCAGCAGAGGGTCAGGGCTGGAAGGACTCAACAGTCAGGGGGCAGTGAGATGAGAGTGGATGAGACGGGTGGAGGCACACTCGGCACAGGGACAGTGCCGAGCGGGGACAGAAGCATGTATGGGATAGGCCCTGACAGGTGCTCACGACAGAGATGGAAAAGGAAGGTCAGAAAGGAAAACCCAGAAGCGTGTTGTCGGAGGTGACAAGAAATGAGCTTCCGGAAGGTGGGAGTGATTGATAATTGAACTGAAAGGATCAGTAACATGAGGGCTAAAGGCACGTTACTTGATTTGGCAATCGGGTCCCGGTGACCTAAGAGCAGCAGTGAGGAAGCCGGGCGGCAGGGACCGGCAGTGCCCATGAACCGGGAACCAAGCACAGGCTCTTCTCTAAGGAGGTTGGGATGAGAAAGGATGCTTGAGATGGAGGATAATTAGGAGGGGCTGCCCCTCGTAAGAGCCAGGGATGGAACGAGACTGGCCAGGAAAGGCACTCAGCACAGCATCCAGGACACAGCAAGTGCTCAAGAAACATAAGTTATCGTTCACTCGTTGGCTATCTCATGATCTACAACCTTACCATGTGCCAGGCATTGTTCTGGGCCCTGTAGATATAGTGAGTGAGCAAGAGACACAAAAACCTTGGCCAAGGAGCTTACATTCTCGTGGGGGAGACAGACAACAGAGAAAATAAATAACTCAAGACAGCTGGTATATTCCACAGTGGTAAATGCTATGGAGAAAACATGAACTAAGGGAAGAAGATATAAAATGTTGAAGCAGGGAACAAAATTCTAGATCTGGTGGCCAGGGAAGGGCCCCACTTTTAACACCCAAAGGACGTGAGAAAAGTACCTATAATTAGGAAGTGAGGGAATAATACTAATGATCACCACCATTGTCATTAGCATTCGCAATATATTACTACTGCAGTAATAGGTTGTAATTATATCATCACCACTATCTTTGCCACAATGAATGTTACTATCATCACTGCCCTCTCTGGCTCTCGAGTAGCTTTGGCAGCGGCATCCAGCAGCCCTGTCCACGCTACAGGGGCGTTTTCAATGGAGAGCCATGTACTGGAGAACCAAGCATAACCCAACAGACCATCATCATGGCGAGTGTGTAAGGCAGAGGCACAGCTCGGGTGGGAACACACCTGTGTGCAGTCACTGCAAAGAAAAAGCTGCTTCACGTGTGTGTTGAGGGGAGAAGGGCAGTCCCAGACCGGTCTTTCTGTCCCACCTGCAAGTAGGGATGCACGTAACAGGCCATCCTCAGACCCAAAGGCGGGGACACGAAGACATCTCTGGAGCAACAGGAAACGGTAACTGCAGCTGGAGAAGGTGCAGATGGAGACAGTGTGTGATTCAGAGGTCCCAGTCGTGTTTCTACCAGCACAAATTTATCTGGTTGTTAGGGATAAAAATCAGCCAGCACCACCTGGGAATAACAGAGAACTGGACATTCCTGCTATTTGCCCAGCCTGGCACGATGCTGAGAACGGGGGTGAGGGCGTGTGATGAGTTCTTACCAGATGACACTGAATGAGGGGACTGAGTCTTGCTTGTGATTGATGTAAATGCTTTTTTAACAGATTGACTTGGACTAATAATTATTATTTGCATATAAAGAAAAAAAGAAAGGAAAAGAACAGGAAAAGAATCCAAATGCCTGAGGACTCATCCTTTCTTCAATCTGTTTAAGTTGCTACAAAATTTTTCAAAGTTACAATGTTGACTGTTTCACTTCTGGACAGCCACAAGCTTCTGTGGGCAGGTGGAAGGTGGGACAGGAAATGTGACCTGTGGGACAAACCCCATTTTTCAAATGAGGTCGTGGAAAGGCTTTGTAACTATCTTCAATGCATTTTGAGATGCCTTTATTATCCAAAGGGAGCCAATACCGAACTTGTCATTAAAAAAATAATAACCTCAAGATTAAAACATTATAGCTCAAGTAGCAGTGCTTAGACTATAGAAACGTTTCTATTCCTTGTAAATGTCTATGTAAACAGATCCCAGCATTTCCTTCCAGGCTTTGAAGGCAAAAGTTAAACCACTGCAATGCCAATGAAAAGCCCATGAAAGAAGTATACAGGCCAATTATGTTTTACCTCTCAAGGCAACAGGAACTTGCTATATTGTAAATATTATTATCATGGCCTCACCACACACTCTTTATTATAAAACATTTCACACACATACATAACAGTATGTACACTGTATTTTCATGCTTCTCTAAGGATTCCAGACACCAACCTCATCAACATCATCTGACTCCACTGGAAGGGCAGAAAAAGTGAATCAGAGATTATGGAAAGATTCCGATCGTGCGGTGTGCAGTCATACAGCCAGGAAGACAGACGCCTCGTCCCTGGGGAATCTGCCACCAAACCGGGGAGTGCAGGAGAGGGAGGGCAGAAAACACTGGCAACTGGCCCATTTCACTGCATCTGCAAACAGATTCAAGCAGCAGGACGTGGATTACTGTTGGTTCACTGTTTTCCTCTGGAAACGCCCTCAGCTGTTGCACTGTGGTTGAAGCACTGAAGGACGTCCGGACTCCGTGTGAGCTGCTGAGCCAGGGCGCCTGTCATGTCCAGAGAGTCCCCGAGCCCAGAGCACAGGAGGAACTTGACGCAGGCCGCATGCTGCCCCGCGCAGGCCAGGTGCAGGGCTGGGTGGGGACAGAGGCACCCAGCTCAGTGCATCACCTACAGCAGTACTGACTGGGGAGCAGGATGCCCCTGATAAAAACACTGACTCTTTCAATTGCACAGATTTCATAGCTCCATATTCTTCCCTATGACTTTGCCTATTCTGGATCAAAACATTTTTCCTTTTAACCTGACTTGGTCACAAATGGTTTTAAAAGTAACAAAACCAATTGGAGAGAATTTGAGAGACTTGTCTAAAACAACAAAGTAAGTTAATGAGAAATAGGAGACTTTAAATAGTACAGAAGACATTTTCAAAGTTTTGTGAATTCTCTGTGTAAGTAAAAATATCACCATGAGTAAGAATGACGTAACAGAAAAACTGCTGACACATCTTCCCATTCTGGTTAGAAATTGGCGCTGAGGGTTTCTGATGTGCTGTGAGCCATGATCCTGGGTCCTGCTCCCCTGTCGTTAGGAGAAAGTTTGTGTCCTGGGACTTACTGACCTTCCTCTGCAGCCCTGGAGTGAGTTGTGAAGCATCACAAGATCCTACTTAACCCTTGCAAGATGGACACTGGTGCACAGAGTGCTACTGGGAAGGTTTATTCTAAAGTCCAGGTCTAAAGAATTAGCTCTGAAAATATCTTTCTGAGCCCGAAATCTAAAAAATTATAGTGATTAAGCTTTTAAAATACATTCCGTAGAGAGAAGACCTATGAAGAATCTATGTAACACCTGGGGAGCTGGTGTGATCATGGATTAAGATAGAAAGTGCTTTGATGTCACATACGTTGTGTGGTTTAAAATAATCAAAATAACAACAATAATACCAGCAGCAGTAAGGAGTAGTAGTCATCATCATTACCATGGTAACAGCAATAGTTCTATAGCTTTGCAAATGGAGGAGGTGCTTTTTTAAGGAAAAGTTGCTGAGCTACTAGAGGAATAATATTAAAAGTAATGATTTTAACATAAAAGTCCATTGTTTACATTGTTTACATTCAGTTTACTAATAATTTTCAAAGCACGTGTAAAATGAGGTCGTACCTGATCGATTTCTTTCGTCCTTGGCATTGATGTCGGCACCCAAGGATAAGAGTGTCTGGATTGTGCTTATGTGTCCTTCCTGAGAGTTGAAATAAACTTGTTACCACTGTAATGACGACAAAAGCAAGCCTTAAACACAAACTCTAATGCACATTAGGTGCTTTTTCTAAAATACTCGACTGCTGAAACTGAATTTTCATATCCAAAGGAAGGCTCATCACATTACTCTCGAACTTCAGCATAAATCATTAAAGATGTAGGTGACGTTTAGTTATTAGAATACAGATGATCAATTTTGTAGTCAAATCACACTGACCACTATGGTTGGGTTTCCCTCAGTGTAAGGAGTATAAATCTTGTGATTTACTCAGAAAACACAATTCTAAATCTCCCAAGCAAACACACCCTTTGCTAAACCTTTAGGGGAGAAATAAACTGGAAAAGAGCGTAACCTCCCCTGGATGGGATTCTTATCATAGCTGGCATTGTCCTTTGTGAAGCAATCGATATACCTTTGTCCAGCCAGTTAGCCTGTCAGTACCTGCTGAGACTGAAACCAAGGCTGCAGGTTCAACCTTCCCACTCGCTTTTATCCCCGTGGCCACAGACCATGCTCTTAGCCCACCCTCAACTGTATACCCACGTTCTCAAAGGGGGAACACAGGCAGGAGAGTGCAGTTCACCAGAAAAAATGTTTATTCCTGTTGCTAGGAAAACAAGTAAAGGCAGGAGGCCAATAATATTAAAGATAGTGGCTACTTTTCTAGCGAAAACTTTTGTGTGTCTTCAATACTTCATACATCAGAGAGCCCAGTAAATGCAATTCCTTTCTCTTACTTAAAGAAATCTTCTGAAATCCAGTAAAAGGATAAGGAACTAGGAATTTCATACGATGGATTTTTACGGCTTCAAATAACATTATTCCTGAAAACAAAAAAGGGCAGGAGGGAACACAGAGCCCAGGCATTACATGGAGTAAAGGGCTCTTCTCAGTTTTTACCCAGAAACAAATAAAGGCAGGTCTCTATTTAAAGGGCCACAGGGCTTTAGAATCATGACCATTTTAAAGAGTATGTCATGGGCAATTTCTTTTTTCCATAGAGACTGAGCAAAAGAACCATGACTACAGGGTTACTCATCAACAGAGTTAGGCAAGCCTCAGGAAGCAGGAACACTGTTCTGGAAAGAAACAAACCTTAGCTGCGTAGTGAAGTGCTGTGAGGTGGGTGGAGGCTGCTCTCACATCTACGTTGATGCCAAGCTCAGAGACCAAGAATTGGACGGCCTCATTCTGCCCAGTGACTGCTGCCCGGTGGATGGCCTGGGCCCCCAGGGAGTCCTCAGCAGAAACGGAAGCCTAGAGGTTGGGAGAGACATGAACAAAAGTAAGGAGCAGAGATACCTGGGTCCATGGACTTCTGACATTTTGGCAAAACTGTGGTCTACATACATTTTCCTGGGCATATGATACATACAAAGCTTTTGTCAGATTCTCAAAGGATGCTCTAACCAAAAAAAATGGTTAAGATTCAACACTGTAGGCTAAAGTGCCAAACAAACAGAGTTACTGGGGAGAGTCTGTTATTATTATTACGAAACAACTACTATTTATTGAATACTTATTTTGCTAACTGCTTTATGTACATTATGTTATGTAATCCTCATAGTAACCCTGTTTTACAAATGGAAACACTGATGCTTAAAGAGGTAAAGCGGACCTCATGGGGGGGATGTGGCAGATCTGAGATTTGAACCCATGATCTGAACAGCAATGCTTCCTGTTTATCTCATGATCTAAAACTTGTAGGAAGAACTAAAGGGATAAAACCAAACCATTTCTATACCTTGTGTTTTTTGAGGAGCAGCCTGGCCACGTCGATGTGTCCACACTGAATGGCATCCATGAAGGGTGTGAGGCCACACTTGTCTCTGCAGTCCGGTTCATACTGGCACCTAGAGACCAAACACAAAGTAACAGCTGGAAACAGTCACCGCTTCAAACCCAACGGCGCTGACTCCTGACCACCTGCCTTATAGATGATCCATGAGAACCTGGAGTGCTTGCCCTCGTTCCCCACCTCAGTATCTGTACCGACCTCTTCGAGAGCAGGTTGGTTTCCCCAGCAAACCTTCTCCTCCTCTAAGCTTCTTGTCACATTTTAGGGACCGTGATCTCTCCAGCTTCTCATGCAGAACCTTGAAGTCACCCCTCATCCCTCATAGCCAATCTATTACCAAAACCTCTCAATTCTACATCCAAAATATTAAACAAAACTGTATCCTTGTCTCCATGTTTGTCTTCACCCCTTAAGACCAAGTCAACAGGGACTTCCCTGGTGGTGCAGTGGTTAAGAATCCGCCTGCCAAGGCAGGGGACACGGGTTTGAGCCCTGGTCTGGGAAGCTCCCACCTGCCGCGGAGCAACTAAGCCCGTGTGCCACAACTACTGAAGCCCGTGCACCCAGAGCCCATGCTCCACAACAAGAGAAGCCACCGCAATGAGAAGCCCACGTAAGAGGGATATATGTATATGTATAGCTGATTCACTGCGTTATAAAGCAGAAACTAACACACTATTGTAAAGCAATTATACTCCAATAAAGATGTTAAAAAAAAAAAAAAAAAAAGCCCTCGCACCACAACCAAGAATAGCCCCAGCTTGCTGCAACTAGAGGAAAGCCCATGTGCAGCAACCAAGATCCAGTGCAGCCGGGAAAAAGAAAAAAGAAAAAAAAAAAGACCAAGTCAACAGGCAACAGCCTCCTACCCATTTTTCTCTCTTTGCTTCCGGCCCAGCCATTCTGTTCTCACCACTAACAGAGTAATCTTTTCACCACGTAATTTGGGTACAGCCTCTCCTGGTTAAAAGCTTTAACTATTTCCCAACCACAAAGGACAAAGCCTAAAACCTCAACATGACCTCCCATGGTCAGGATTATGTGGCATCCACTCACTTCTCTGGGATCCTCTGGCCCCTCCTCCCTGTGCTTAAGGCAACCCCCCTTCTGTCCGGTCCCACTTTCTTCTCGGTCCCACAGCCTATCTGTCCTCCTTCTTCTGTTCCTATTGCTTCATGGTCCTACCTCCTTCCATTTCTACCCATCTTCCCTTCTCCCCAGTCCTCCCTTCTTCCGTTCCTACCTTCCTCGTGGTCACACCTGTCTCCCCTTCCTCTCGGCCCTACCTCTCACCTGTCCCATCTTCTTTTGTTCCTACCTTCAAAGGTCCTGCCTGTCCCACCTCCTTCTGCTCCCCTGGGTGCCAGGCTCTTTGCTGCCTTTGCACTTGCTGGTCCCCTCTGCTTGGAACATCCTAGTTTCATTCTTCACCTGGCCAACTCCAAGGCATCCTTCAAATCTCAGCTTCAGGAGGACCTCAGAGGCCCATCTTCTCCCCCAGATCTATAGGACGACCCCTGCCCCCGCACAGCATTGTGGACTTTCCCTTTGTAGTATCATCACCATTTGAAATTTTATGACATTTCTGTGATTGTGTGTCTATACTTGGCTTCCACACTAGCCTGCAGGCTGTTAGGGAAATAACTGTGTTAACTGCTTATCACCCAGTGCTTAACACACACAGGAGGTGCTTAGAAAACATCTGTTGAATGAAGAAAGGAGTATTTATGACTGCAGGTATACAGTCCCAACGCGTAGGAGGCAAGCCCTACACAGTGATGCTTTCAGGGCACTACATTAGGCCTCCCCTTCTTCACTCATCGTCTCCTAGGTAACCACTTCCATCCTATGGATTCAATGGTCACTTCCATGTTGACGAGGCCCACTCCTGTATCTCAGCCCACACCTCTCTTCTGGGCTAAAATCTGTGTCTAACTGCCCGCTGGATGTCTCTGCCTGTGTGTCTCACAGGTACATGTGACTCAACATGCCCGAAAGTGACACTGCCAGCTTCTCCCCACGCCTGCCCCTCCTCCCCAGGTGTCATCTACCTCGGCAGGTGGCACCAGCACAGCACCAGCTGCTTAAGCAAGACACCTGGCCGTCATCCTGGACTCGTCCTTCTCCCTCATTCCCTTTGTCCCTTTATTCACCGAGATCTGGTGATTCTACCTCTCAAGTGTCTCCAGACCTTTCTCTTCACCCTATAGTCAGCATCGTGGTCCAGCCACCACCATCTCTCCTGTTCCACTGCAACAGCCGCCAGACTGTGTTCACAGCACCCACGCTTGCTCCCCCTCCAATCCATTCTGTTTTGCAACCGGGGGATCTTTGAAAAATGAAAATCTCTTATTATTCAGTGGTATCTTATACGCTTAGCACAAGATCTGGAATCCTCAGGTGGCGCCCAGTGTCCCACTGGACCTGAATCGCCCTTCCTCTGCAGCCTCCCCATCACTCTTGGGACACAGCATGTGCCTATCTTCTTTTGGTCTCTTCCGTGTACTGTGTTTGTCCCCAGCCCTGAGCCTTCACGGTACTGTCACCCCTGCCTGGAATGCCCCCTCCACCCTGCCCCCATTTTCAGCCTCCTCCAGGTCATAGCGTCAGTGTCACTGGGGCCGAGATCCCTCACCCCTAGGCCACGTCCCATGCTGCTGTGGGGACCTCGCAATTCCCTGTAATGCTCATCAGACTCACAGGACATGGGCAGCGTCTGTCTTCCCTGCCCGTCTGTGAGTTCCATGGGTTGGGGGGGGGGAACCACATTATCTTGTTGCTGTGGTAGCCCCTGCACCCGGAACAGTGAGTACTGAGTGAGTATATGAATGTCTGTTGAATGAACAGATAAAAGGCTAATGTTTCCCTAGGTTTGTTAGCTATTTTGTTTCACCTTCTTTATCTGCTTAAGTCCTTTGTTCATGTCTGTTTTGGTACTTTAGATTCTTTATGAACATTTTGTCTGAGCTCTGATATTATGCAGCACTGATATAACTGTCAATTAGCAAATATTTTCCTTAATCTGCTGTTTTGTTCTTTCTTACCTCTGAAGAAGCACCTCTACTGCCTCTGAACAGCCATGCATTGCTGGGTGGAGAGAGTTGAGAATGAGAGCTTTTTAGCACAAAAATAAAATGCTTCTTCCCTCCTGGCACCTCTCTGTGCCCCATCCCTCTAGCTGTAACTTCCAGGAAAGAGTATTAAGTTAGGTACACTGCCACCACCCCAGAAAAAGACAAATATTCCTCGATGAGTGGTAAAGGGTGATGTTTTCACTTAACAGGTACAAGGCTCACACTTGATTATCTTGTCTTTATGAGACTTTGATGGCAAACATTCAATCTTAAACCTGCCTCCTCACTTTCGTGCTACAAATCCCTAGGACCAGTCAGTTTTTGCCCAAGAAATGTAAAACATTTTAAGAGTAATCCATGACAAAATAACCAGGAATTTAATTCTCCTGCTAGAAATAACTATCCTCTATAATAAAGATTTCGAGGGAGTTCCCTGGTGGCCTAGAGGTTAGGATTGCGAGCTTTCTCTGCTCTAACCCAGGCTCAATCCTTGGTCGGGGAACTGAGATCCCACAAGCCACACGGCATGGCCAAAAAAAAAAAAAAAAAGATTTTGACTATCTATTCTCCACTATTTTGTGCGAATGACTGGGAACTGACTGTTTCTCCACAAGAGCAGGGTAGTTCGTCAAACAATTCATGAGCAGAGAAGTTTTTCCACTCATGTGCAAAGTTTTATAAAGGATTCTTTAGTCCCTAACTGTGGCCAGAATAACTGTGTGCCTATCTCCTCAATGACATCATGTCACAGGTATTGATTTCAGAGAAACCTAAAAGCTCTGTATTCTAATTCAATGTGCTACCCAGAGGGCTAAAGATTATGTTCTAAATGTCTTGATCTGGACTCTACTTAATGCCCCTTTTGTCTTATACCGTGGTGCTTTTGCTTTCAACTAAGATAATCTACAAATAAACAGTTCAGAGTTTAGGATAATTACTCCAAACAATGAAAATGGTAGTCCAGATTTATATTCAACATTGTCACTAGGTAAGTCACATCCATTGAGCCCTGGTATTTAATTATAAGCACCTATATTTATTTAAAGGGACAGCACCATAGTAGGTATTACTGAAGATACAAGGAAATAGTCCCCTTTCCTTTTGCTTTTAATAATAATGTCAAAATGGTTGTGAAAATAGCAGCTGTAGCTGTCCCGTGCTCACTGCGTGTGGAGCACTGCACAGAGGGCCTTGCATGTGCCTTAATCCCTATGACCTTGTGATAGGGGCATCATCATTATCATTATTTTGTGGCTGAGGAAACCTGCTCAAGAGACTAAGTTCCTTGCCCAAGGTCAAAGACTTAGTAAGGAACAGAACCAGCCTACCATCTAACTAACCGGCGAGGAGAAGACAAATGTATGCGGAAAGTCACCTAAAACAAGAAAGAAGAGCATGTTAAGGGCCGGGTGACACTGGTTTTAGAAACTAAGTGTTTGCCCAAATACCCCAAAGCTGCTCGTATTCCTTGCCATTTCCCCAGCCCCTCGCTCCCTGGTGGGTGGCATCCAGCACAGCTCCGGGCCATACCTGCCGTGTGCAGCGGGGTTCTCCCAATCTTGCTCTCTGTCTTCCAGGCAGCTGGGCAAACAGCGAGCAGGTACTGGAGGATCAGAGGGTCGCCTTCTCGGCTGGCAATGTGGAAACTGTTCCAGCCGTCTTTGTTCTTCAGCAGTGGATTGGCGCCGTGCTCCACGAGGTCCTGGACCACCTCAAGATTCCTCCTTGTGCAAGCCATCATCAGAGGAGTCCTAAGGTCAATTGGGACAAGCTGTCAGACGGAAGGGCAGCTGAGGCATTAGAAGCACTCGACCAGGGCTTCAGAAAAACACACACCCTTGGCAGAGACGGAAGACCTAGAGGACTCGGGAGTCTGGGAAGCAGGAAAACAGCTTTGGCTGGCAACTCCCCTGCCTGTCATGAGGGCCCTGGGAGAATTAACAAGGGGAAAATGATTGTGACGTGGGTGCCCCTACAGGTGGGGAATACTGAGGAGGCAAAGTTGTTTCTGAACTAGTTTTTATTATGGCACTGAATTGGAACAGAACTCGTCAAAATCACAGACAGTTTGTGCTTAATATTTGCATAAGAGGTACTCTGCTGGACTTATCCCATTCACCTCAGTCAGTAACCGATAATTAAACTGTTCTGAAAAGGAGTTAAAACAGAGCAGATGACAAAGTGCCTTGCCGTAAGGAGCCTACATTGGTGGAGCAAGTGAAACGGCGTGATTACATTAAGGTTCTGAACTGATGTGTGTCCACAACTATGGGACAGTGAACTACATCACTATCAACTCCTCTTCTCCCACATCAGTGATTTTGTGCTTCTCCCTTCTCATCTGCTATGACTCTCGGAAGCAGGGGCAGGTCTTGTTTACCTCCCGTCCCAGGGGCGGGCCCAGCTGAAGCTCAACGTAACTGCATGGGTCTCAGCCAGGATCTGTCCTCTGAGACTGCTTTGATATTACTTAATTACCAACACTATTTTGATTTTTTATTTTTGGTAATGTAGTAATGATAGTGAATGAGAAATCAAGAGGGAGACACCCAGATAAATGAAGGCTGGAATCTTCAAGAAGTGCTTCACAGAGGGAATGAATCCAGGGAAGGGACTTGAGAAAGCCAGCAAGGTGAGAACAGGCAAAAATGTCTCACTGTAACTGCACTTCCTAAGCACACAATCAAATGAAACGTGCCCTTTTAATGGTTGTTTGGGAAGACTGTTTCCTTACCCATAGAACTGGATAAGCATAAGAAAATCAGTTTTGTGCTTAGTCACAGCCAAAGTGCAAACCTCAAAAAGTCACCAGGTCTATGCACCCTGACCCCCCATGCCAGTAGGCAAGATGCACTTTGTTTAGCTATCTGGCTGTCTGATGTGTTCCTTATTTACATCAGATCAGGAATCCCTTGTGGATTCATTCAGGAACTTCATTATGTTATGAATCTTCAGATGTTCATAACCTCTAAGGAGGTGGACAGACATATTACTGAAAACGATGTGGATCTAACACAATGCAATTACTTCGTGTGATGGTTACAGGTGAGCATCGTAGACTGTGGAGGTGGTCATGCAAGGCTACACGTGATAAAATCACACAGAGCACCCCACACACACACATGTGTACGTATAACTGGTGAAATCCGAGTAAGTATACTAATTGTAGCAATTGCGGTTCCTTCTTCTTGTTACCTTACTGTGGCTGTTAAGATGTTAACTTTGGGGGAAGATGGGGGAAAGGTGCATGGGACTTCTCCCATGTCTTTGCAAATTTCTGAGAACCTATAACTACGAATTTCAAAGTATAAAGTTAAAACAATGTCACTGGTGAAGTAATCATTTAGCTAGATGTTCCTAGAAGAACATCCCGCCCTGGGGCTCATGCTATACGTAGGACATATAGACAATTTGTAGTTTGCTTATATTCTATCTGATCATGTACTTTACTGTTCTCTGCTCTATCATGGGAGGCAGTCTGGAACAGAAGATCGGAGCAGTTAACCCTATAAGGGTAGCAACAATGTTCTGCTCAATAGGGGAAGGCTGAGGGGCTATGGCGTGGAGGCCGACCAAGGAGCAGGAATCTACGATTCTGCGGGGAATGGTGAGGGTCTCTCCGCAAGTTCCGCCACCTACCAGTCGGCCTTCTTCAGGCAGTCGACCGCGGCCCCTCGGCCCAGCAGATACCGCACGCAGTCCCGGTGGCCCATGGAGGCAGCCTCGTGCAGAGGCCGCTTGTAGTCTCGGTTGGCGGCCTCGATGTCCAGGTCCCAGGCCTCGACCAGATAGGCCAGGATTTCCCGGCGGCCGTGGCGCGCGGCGCAATGCAGGAGGGTGTCCCTGGCCGGCCCCGCGCAGCCGGCGCGCCCCGCAGCCCGCAGCTCCTCCCGCAGGGCACACAGCCGGCCTTCCTGCACCAGCCGGCACAGCCGCCTTGTGTCCGCGGGCGCTGCCATGGCGCCTGGCTCCGCTTCCGGCCCGCCCCCGCCCCTTCCCCCGGACGCCCCCGGCCTCGCCCTGCCGGCTCGGCCCCGGGCGGGCGCTCAGGTCTCCGGCTGACCACGTGCCCCGCTGGCCGCCGCGAACGCACGCTCGGAGGCTGCAGTCCTCGCTGGTTTCACTTTGGGGCGAAATATTAGGTGAACCGCGGGCCCGCCGCTGCGGGTCCCGGTCACAAGCAGAGCGAGCCCTCGGGGACGGGGTGAGGCCCGCGCGTCCCCGCCCACAGCCCCGCCCACCGCAGCCTGCCCCGCCCACAGCCTCGGCCCCCGCCCCACCCCGACTGCCGCAGCCCCTCAGTGGGTCCCCGAGCTCGGAGGAACTCTGGGAAAGTTTCTGTTCGCCTCTTCCGCCCTAGCAGAAGCACGGACGGGGCGGGGCCCTCTAGCGGTTGCCACCCCTTCTCCGGGTGCGCGTTTCTATTGGCCGCCAGAGAAGTCCGTAAGCGCGCCCCTTCCGCACGCGCGTTCCAATTGGCCAGAGGCGCATTCCGTCAGCGCCGGCGGCGGGCTCTTCCCTGGGCAGCGGCGGGGGCGGAGCTGGTGGAGGAAGTCCGCGGCCTTCTCGGGCTCGCGCTGCCCGGGGGATGCTGGGACTGGGTGGCCGGGCGGCTCTGGCCCGGCGGCGGCGGTGGCGGCGGCGGCGGCGGCGGCGGCGGCGGGACCCCCGGTGTGGAGCGCCATAGTGAGTGAGGCCGACGGCGTGGAAGGGGGCGCGGGCGGGCCCAGTCGTGTAAACGCTGAACCTTTGGGTTCCTCAGCGGGTCCCGCCTCAGGGGGTCCGCGGGGGACTGGGGGCCGGGCGCGGGCGCAGAGGGGCGCGGGCCGGCGGTGAGGGGCGCGGCGGGGCGCGCGCGCTGGAGGCCGAGGCGCCCTGGGACGCGGGGGCGCGGCGCTGCTCGGCGGTGTGGGAGTCGCGGAGACGTGGCCTCCGATGGGGGCAGCCAGCGTTTCCTTTCCTTCTGCTCTGCTGTTTTGACCTTGGGCGAGTCATTTTATGGTATCCTTTTGCCTCTTTCGTTTGCAGTCGCCCTCCCCCTAACCTGAGTATTAAGAAAATTAAGGTGATGTGGGAGGGCCTTGAGCGGGTGGAGGGTACTTGAGGTCTGAGCAAGCTGTGTGGGGTGACGGGAGACATGAGGGTAGGTGTTGAGTTCTTTAACCCAATCTTCCTGGATGCTCGTCATTTAACCCTCCTGGTGTTTTCAGTTCCTTTAGAGATAAAACGGGAGCAGCTGCTATTTGCCAGGCCTGGAGACAATTCTGCTTTACATCTTGTACTCTGGTTTACAAAGCACTTTACATTAATTATCTCATCCGCAAACAACACTGTAAGGAAGGCATCATGAGAGGTGGGGAAATTGAGGCCTAAAGAAGTTAGCGATTTTCCCACGGGAGTACAGCTAACAAAGACCTGGAAGGAAGGATGGTAGCCCCTGGTGAGGGCCTGCTAGTGCTTGGCACTCTGCTCAAATAAATTAAGGGAGATAAAATGAAAAAAGACCTCTAGTACGAAAACAAGCTCATTTTACTTGTGAGTGGATTGAACTGAGTGTAATATGGATAATCAACAGAGATAGAACCAAGTCCGATATCAGCTTTGCCAAAGTTATTGTCCCCTTGTATCTTGCCACTTCCAAAAAAAGGGAAGGTGTAAAAGTGCTTTGAAGTGCGTCAAGTTTTAGGACATGCCAAGCATTGGTCTTAGCGCAGCTGTTGGTGTTGGTGCAAGTGGAAGTTGAGGTATCTGGTAGTTTCACACTTTTTGTTGTTAATGCCCCTCCACATCCTCATTGCCAGTGACTCCACCTTCTCTTGCCTTACGCCTCCAGTTTCCTTGCTTTTAAAAACAAAACGTTTGCACTATAGGACAATATTTTAAATTCAGATGATTGGTTATTTAACTGATAGCCCACATGCAGTTCTGCCCCTCCTGCCTTCTTTAGGAACTTATTTTGGTCTGCGTCCCCCTTTAGATAACTAGATGCCAATGTATGGTAACCTGTCCACAGCCCCTGTGGTTCTCTGGAGCAAAAGTTTGGTGCAGAGGGGACAGATCTTGACAGTAAGCTAATGGATGGAGCTATACTGAGGTCTTAAGGTTTCTTACTTGGTCTGCTCATTCCTTTTTGTGCAGGTGTTTGGAATTTGTGTTGTGCCCGGTAGTGACTCATTTCGCATGTGGCCTTCATTGGCATTGTGATTTGCTGCTTGGCTGTCCTCTTTCCTTTATCTTTTGTTGTGTTTCGTGGTTCAGGTGTCGTGATCATTTGACATGTTTTGTGACCTGTGAGTGTGTGAACACCAAACTTGGTATTGGACTTAGAACTCTTAATTTCAGATTTGTTGTCATCATCTTTCTCTGCTTGTCATTCCCCTCTATCCTTCCTAGGCTGATGTTATTTGAAGATTGAATGTGAATTCTGTCTTTGCCCATCTGTCAGTGGAATCATCTGCTGTTAGAGCATCTCACCAAAGCGTCTCGAATCTTACGTCTCCAGTTGTCACTCACAGACATTTTGAGGACAAGTCTCATATCTCAGAGTACCTCCCGGAGCTTAACCTGGCATGCTACAGATAATTTTAAAACAGAACAAACAGCCATTTTCAAAACTGAAAGCTTTCATTTTCCCTTCATTCCCGGAAGAAGTGATTAAAACGAAAACACGATTTCTCCTTTACTCTTTAACGTGGTTAATGATGTGATCATTGAGCTCTGGCTAGAAATGTCAGTTACCTGTTTTGTTTTTTCTTTTCCAGTCTCACCAGTCCAAAAAAACTTGTTAGGCTTCACTTTCCCCTCTCCCAGTTTTTTCTGCTGCTGCCCTTAGGCCTTGACCACCTCTTGCCTTGGTTGGTAAAGTGACTTTCTGCCTTGTTTTCTTGACAGTCTGCATGTTTACTCATCCTCTGCCTGCCTCCAGAGTTACCATTCTAATGTGTAAATTTGGTTGGTCATTGACCCTGCTTAGAAAAGCGAGATGATTCGCTGAATTGCCTACATGATAAAGTCCAAATTTCTTGGCATTATATTTAAGGACATTTATCCTCTGTGTTTCCAAATTCTTTTCCATCCTTTTCCACAATCCATGAGCCTCTTTCCTAATGAAACCCGGCTTACCGGCACACCACTGGTGTGCTATTTCTCTGTGTTTCTGCACACACTGTTTCTTTTGCCTTCCCCGATCCTACTCATCTTGCAAGGCTGAACTCTTCATAAAGCCTTTTTCATCCTTCCTAACTGGTCACTTTTCTTCATTTCATAAGTGCATTTGTGTAGCACTTATAGTGCCTTATGTATAGTAATTTGTGTTTTGAGAGCTGCCTTATGGACAGGTGACATCATTTGTTTTTGAATCCTCAGTGTCTCAAATAGCGTTTGACCCCAGAGATGCCAAGAGAGGAAGCCCTCATGGTGTTTATAATGAATCTGGGAAATCATAGATACTTAAAAGTGGTTGTGGGTTGAATTGACAGTAGAAAAAAGCCTTTCAAATCTATAAATTCTAGTCTGTAAGTAATGGTTATTTTCTTGTATTTCCATTCTTTC